CATCTGATTGTAAATGTTCTGTGTTTATTGTGGGGAATTTAGGAAGCGGCGGCTCATCCTGCAACTCGAAAGAGGAGACCAAAAGCCACAGAAGACGCAGAGGAAACCAGTCAACGGAAGAAAAGGAAGTTTCGGGCGAGCCTGTGACGACTGCCCTTGGCCCGGAGGGAGGCACAGACGCTGGGCCCGCCCGGAACAGCCCGGGGAAGTTTACAAAGACAAAGGAACTGGACACAACCTGTGGAGGAGAGTGGGCGGGCAGGTCCCGGCGGGCAGAACAAAAAGTCAACACGCTGCCAAACACCAGAGGGAAGAAGATGCGAGGACCAGGCCGCCCAGAAAGAAAAGGAGGAAGATAGTTCGAAGGAGCAACACAAAACTGTGCAGAGCTGAAGGATTAGAAGGGCCCGCCAGGGCTGAAGGAAGAGCCCACAGCTTCCAGAAGGGGAAACTGGCCACGTGCAAAGAACCGGAAGAGACAGGCTCGCCCTAGCCGGTGTGGCCCAGTGGATAGAGCGTCGGCCTGCAGACTGGAGGGTCCCGGGTTCAATTCCAGTCAAGGGCACATGCCCGGGTTTCAGGCTCGATCCCCAGTAGGGGGCGTGCAGGAGGCAGCCCATCCATGATTCTCTCATCATTGATGTTTCTATCTCTCCGTCTCCCTTCCTCTCTGAAATCCATAAAAATATATTTAAAAAAAAAAGAGAGAGAGAGACAGGCTCTGGGTTTCTCAACAGAGACTAGACATCAGTGCAGCAAGACCTGAGATTTTCTAGGAATAATTTCCAACGTAGGAACTTCTAAACCCAGGTAAGCTCACTCCAGTGTGAAGGTGGAATAAAGGCATTTCAGACAATCTACCCTGGGATGTCCACCTCTTACAAACCCTTTCTCAAAACTCCTGGAAGAGCCCTAACTGGTTTGGCTCAGTGGATAGAGCGTCGGCCTGCGGACTCAAGGATCCCGGGTTCGATTCCGGCCAAGGGCATGTACCTTGGTTGCAGGCACATCCCCAGTAGGGAGTGTGCAGGAGGCAGCTGATCGATGTTTCTAACTCTCTATCCCTCTCCCTTCCTCTCTGTAAAAAATCAATAAAATATATTTTTTTAAAAATGATCTCTTCAAGTACGAGCTAATGGCTACATAGTATTCCACCAAATGGATATGCTTCTTAACCAACCCCAACTTTGGAACATTTAAGTGTTTTGGGGCTGGGCTGGCGTGGCTCAATGGTTGAGTATCAACCCATGAACCAGGAGGTCAGGATTCGATTCCCAGTCAGGGCACATGCCCAGGTTGTGGGCTCGATCCCCAGTGTAGGGCGTGCAGGAGGCAGTTCATCCATCATTCTCTCTCATCATTGATGCTTCTCTCTCTCCGTCTCCCTTCCTCTCTGAAAGTGTTCCGGGGTTTTTGGTCTTTTATAAACCACATGGCAATGAACGTCCTTACAGATCCAGCTTCCCCTTCTAGTCTCCGTCGTGGGAGTCCCCTGCTTTAAAGCTGGTAACACCTGCATCTCCCTCCCCTTCTGCCCCGTGGGCTGGCTAGACAGGTAGACATTTCACAGAGGGGTTCTCTGGGCTCAGGCGGGGTCCCCAAGGCGACGCAGCAGGTAGAAGGCAGGCGTCGGCGCCCCAGCACAGTAGCCTCTTCTGAAAGTGCTAACATCCAAACCCGCCAACTTCGCCGGAAGTCTGGGTCCTTCCCTGGTCCTTCCCCACCTCCTCAGTGCCTGTGGGCCTCACTCCCGATCCCTCCTGCGCTCACCACTCTGCCATGCCTGCGCTCACCAACGCCCTGGGCCGGGTCAGCCTGGAGGCTTTCACCACCCAGGGCGATACTTCCATGGACTTCCTAATGGCGCAATGTCGGGCCCCGCCAGCCTGGCCGCCCTCCGTACCTGCATGGAGCCGTAGACCTCGGAGCCCTCAAACATGAGCTTGAAGTAGCTCAGGCTGCTCACGGCGGCCTGCCAGGGCAGGTATTCCTTCTCATTGATCAGGAAGAGGGTGTTGCCCAGCGCCAGGGTGACGGGGACCTGGCGGGCACTGGGGATCAAACAGAGGGGCTCAAGTTAGCACCCCAGTTACTCCTCTCTGGAAACCCCAGCCGCCTCCTGGAGCCTGAGGTCCCAGAGCCCCAAGTGAGCCAGCTCGAGCGTTCGCTGGGGTGGGGAATGTGGGTGCTGGGCGGTTCCACACACAAGGCCAGCCAGGCCCTGCCCTCACCCATTGCCAGTCACAATCCCTTGCTTATTGTCCCCATTTCAAAGATGAGGCCCTAGCCGGTTTGGCTCAGTGGATAGAGCGTTGGCCCTGGGACTGAAGGGTCCTGGGTTCGGTTCTGGTCAAGGCACGTAGCTCAGTTGCAGATTTGATCCCTGGCCCTATCAGACCCAGGGTTTCTCACTATGGACACACACTTGCTCACGGCACAAGGTCTTCCCGGCAGAGCCCGTCTGGGCCCGAGGAGGAAGGTGACGACACTCACCTGGCCAGGTCAAAGGCGTCATGGATGACTTGCGCCCGATTGAGGACCGGGATGACCTAGAAGGAGCAACACAGGGTGTGACCTCAGGCCATGACCTCGGGCTGGGCCTGGGGCAGGGGGCCGGGTCGAGGTGGCAGATACCCACCGACAGGTCTCTCTGCAGCTGAGCCTGAATCTTATTCCAGTTGTCTGTGTCGTAGTTCACCTGGTAATAGCCCGTCACATTGACGTTCAGCAGGACCCACTCGTTTGTGGTTTTGAACATTGTCTCAGCTGTGGGGGGAGAGACCAGAGCTGGGGTGGGGTAGCTCAGAAGACTCGAGGCTGACCCTTGACCCTCCTCCCTCCAGCAAGAGCAGCCTCGTGCAGCCAGGCAACAGCCGGCCACCAGCCTCTGGGGCAAAGCCGAGGGGAGGGGCGGGGAAGGGACGGCGACAGGCTGCCCGGCCGACCTCTACCTCTGGCTGGCTGGTGACCTCGGACAGACCACATGCCATGCCTGAACCTCAGTGCCTGCCCTGCCTCCCAGAGCTCCATGTGCCCGGGCCAGTGCCAGCTACCTGGATACCTCTGCCCTCACACCTCCAGTCCACTCAGACTCCCATCCAGGCAGCCCCCTGGCCCAGCCCGTCTCTTCTGTGGGGCTGAGCATCCCCTCCCCCCTGCTCTCCCTTCTAGCCTTTCTCCGGGCAGCCAGAGGGGACCCGTTCACACCTGCAGGTCAGACCCAATCATCTGCCAACTTCCCAGCTGCCCCAGCTCCTCCTGGCCCGTGTCTCCTGCATCCTGCAGGGACGGCTGCTCTGTCCCCATGTTCTCTCCTGCCTTCATGCCTTGCACTTGCTCTTTCCTCTGCCTGAAATGCTTTTCTTTTCTTTTTTTTCTATTTTAAAATATATTTTTATTGCTTTCAGAGAGGAAAGGAGAGGGAGAGAGAGATAGAAACATCAATGATGAGAGAGAATCATCGATCGGCTGCCTCCTGCACGTCCCCTACTAGGGATCGAGCTCGCAACCCGGGCCTATGCCCTTGGCTAGAATCGAACCCGGGACCCTTCAGTCTGCAGGCTGACGCTCAATCCACTGAGCCAAGCCAGCTGGGGCCTGAAATGCTTTCCTATGCCACCATTAGCCTAGCTAACTGCTACTTTTCCTCTAAGACTCAGGTCACCTCCTCCGGGAAGTCTTCCCTGACCTCTCCATGAAGTTGAATCTCCCTTAATCCCAGCTCCTGGCCCCTGTGCCCAAGTAGCCCAGAGGCCAGACACGCCTCTGTGAAAGCACTCAGCACAGCTCGGGAAAGTTTTAATTGCTTGTCTTCCTTCCATAGGCAGCCGTGGCCTAGGGCAGAAGATGACTTGCCTTGACCTTGGCTTCCTCAGGGCCTGGCGCTGTCTAAAACATTTCGTGGGGATTGTCTCCTTTAATGCTCACACAATCCCGTGGGGGTAGATACTGAACAGCCCCATTTTATAGGTGAACAAATGGAGACCAGACAGGGATGGTAACTTGCTCAGGGTCACAAAGCTGGGCAGCAACAGCAGAGTAGAGATTAGAACCAAAGAAGGCAGGCCCGGCCAGTGTGGCTCAGTGGTTGAGCATCGACCTACGAACCAGGAGGTCATGGACTGATTCCTGGTCAGGACATGTGCCCGGGTTATAGCTCTAGCCCCAGTAGGGGGCGTGCAGGAGGCAGCCGATCCATGATTCTCTCTCATCATTGATGCTTCTATCTTTCTCTCCCCCTCCCTCCCTCTCTGAAATCAATAAAAATATATTAAATAATTTTTTTAAAAGAACCAAAGAAGGCAGCTCCATTTGGGGAGTGAAGTGATGAAGGAGCCGAAACCGGTGTGGCTCAGTGGATAGAGCGTCGGCCTGCGGACTGAAGGGTCCCAGGTTCGATTCCGGTCAAGGGCATGTACCTGGGTTGCGGGCACATCCCC